CTCCCCTTCCTCCCTCCCTCCCTCCCTCCCTCCTTCCTTCCTTCCTTCCTTCCTTCCTTCCTTCCTTCCTTCCTTCCTTCCTTCCTTCCTTCCTTCCTTCCTTCCCTAGCTCCTATTGTATTTTTATCGTTTAATTTCTTTTTAATTTTTTTTGATCCTGATCTAATTTTTTTTAAACCCCTATCCCGCCGGAGAGCGCTCGATTCTGTGTAATCTAGGGGCCTTAATGATTAGAATAGGGTTTTGGGGCCCATTATAATTATACTAAGGAACCCAACCAAAATACTATAGATAACTATTCAAGCCCCTACAAACCCTAAACCCGAATTATGAAGGCCCCTAGATTAATCTTACATATTTTGGGAGTCGGGTGTTCGGCCTGAACCCTGAGTGAAGAGTCGATGTCTCTCCTTCCGAAAACTGAGCTTGAAGCTTTTAGGGGTTTAGGGCTCAGGGTTTAGGGGTTTAGGGTTTTAGGGTTTAGGGTTTAGGGCAGGGGTTTAGGGTTTAGGTTTGGGGTTCAGGCCTTGAGGGTGAAAATGAAGGCGCTCTCGTAAGTTCCGTTCTGCGAAGTACTACAACCACGCCGACGAAAGATCAATGAGCAGACTGGCAGAGACTCTGTAACAACCCAGGGTGCTGTTGCAAAAGGCCAGCAACGTTGGACCGGCCGGCGTCGATGGCAGCAGCATCACCGCTGGTGCAAACCGAGGCACATGTCTCCATCATCGCATCTGCAACAGGAGTCGCTCGCGCTTCAACCGTCGAACCTGGAGCGTCACTGTCACTGCCCCAGCCTTGAACCTCTCAGGGGCGAGGATACATGGGCTAAGGCTTGGATGCTACCTGGTAGCTTGCGTTCACATTTTCTACCGGAGTAATCGCAACAGCGACTCGGACTTGTCATGGCTTCCTTGAGCAGCAGCTGCGGGATCGGGCCCAAGTTCGGTGTGGCACCCACCCCACTTTACAGACCTCAATCCTTGACCCCGAGTAAGGCTTGAAACCCTAAACCCTAAACCCTAAACACCAACCGAACTCGTCCACGAGATGGAATGCAGGATCCGCCTTAACCCTAAACCCTAAACCCTAAACCACAAACCCTAAACCCTAAACCACAAACCCTAAACCCTAAACCACAAACCCTAAACCCTAAACCCTAAACCCCTAAGCCGCTAACCTAGAGCCCAAGAGGTCTGGGGGAACTCAGCAGGCTCTCGGCTTGGGGTGTGGACTTGGGGCCTGTGTCTTGGAGTTTTAGGGCTACAGTTTAGGGCTCCGGGTTTAGGGTTTAGGGTTTAGGGTTTAGGGTTTAGGGTTTAAGGTTTTCGGGCTTGGGTTTAGGGTTTAGGGTTTAGGGTTTAGGGTTTAGGGTTCAGGGCTTAAGCAGTTGAAGCGTTTTTCAACTTACCCTTGATTTGATCACACCTCAAGAGGTTCGGGCTCCAGGCGTGGACTTTCAGGAATTTTGAGCATCGACTGCTTACTTTGTCTATTTACGCTTGAGGGCTTTGGGGTTTGAACCTTAAACCCGAAACCCTCACCACTAAACACTAAACCCTAAACTAAACCCCCGCACCCTAAGACCCTAAACCCCCAAAACCGTCAACCTCTAAACCGTATATAACCCCTACACGCGGCCTAAACCCTAAACCAAAAATTACCCTAAACCCTAAAGCCTCAGTCCTACCCCCTAAACCGGAAACCCTGAACCCTCAACCCTCAACCCTGAACCCTAAACCCTAAACCCTAAACCCTAAACCCTAAACCCTAAACCCTAAAAAATCCCCAATCCCAGGCCAAATCCTTCAGGGCCTCGGCCCTGGCGGGCTGAGGGGCCCGCAGGGTTGGGGACTTCGGGGTTAGGGCTTGGGAGCTTAAGGCGGCGAGATCTGGTTTAGGGATTGGGGTTTAGGGTTTTAGGGTTTAGGGTGTAGGGTTTAAGGCTTAGGGTTTAGGGTTTAGGGATGAGGGATTAGGGATTAGGGTTGAGGGTTTAGGGTTTAGGTTTAAGGTTTAGGGTTTAGGGAGTAGGGTTTAGGGTTGAGGGTTTAGGGTTCCTCCATGAAGGTTCCTTAATGGTGGTAGTAGTAGTAGTAGTAGTAGTAGTAGTAGTAGTGGTAGTGGTAGTGGTAGTAGTAGTAGTAGTAGTAGTAGTAGTAGTAGTAGTGATAGTTGCAGTAACCGCAACAGTTACCAAGTAGCAGTAACAGTATCAGTAACAGCAACAGCAATAGTGATGGTAGTAATGGTCGTCATAGTCATAGTGATAGTAGAAGTAATGATAAGCAATTGTAATAATCACCTAAACCCTAAACCCTGAACCCTAAACCCTAAACCCTAAACCCTAAACCCTAAACCCTAAACCCAAACCCCGGCATGGATTTCGGGCTTTAGGGTTTAGGGTTCCGGGTTTTATGGAAACGAAAACTATTTACGATTTGATGCAGGGTTTAGGGTCCTACTTTTTAGGCCGTTAGGGCTAGGCTTAGGGCTTACCCGGATTTAGGGCTTGGGATCCCACTGTTTTAAGGGCTTCCTGCAGCGTTTTTACACCTGGTGCGCCCAGGGCTAGGTGGCAGCTTCTCAACTCAGGGCCCCGGATATGGAGACCCGCAGAAGGATCCATCTCTTTTTGCAGGCTTTGAAGGTTTCCTTGGGATTTTGACGGTTCTTAGGGCTGTAACGGTGTTGTGTAATAAGGTTCGGGCATAGGGATTGAAACTCCGGTTTCACCACAAATTCCAGGGGGATCTTGCGCCAACCCTTGCTGGAGGCCAACAACTTACAGTATAAGGCCTTAATGGCTAGAATAGGGTTCCTTGGGGTTCCTTCCTATGGTAGAAGTCTAAAAAAGCACACAAAATCCCATGTCATTTGTTACGGCCCCTGTGGTAACCCTAAACGCTAAACCCTAAACCCCTAAACACCCTAAACCCTAAACCCTCGACCCTAAACCCTAGACCCTTGTATCAAAGCCTCTTTGGGAGATGGGCATCCCAGGCTTCGAAAGACTCTCCAGCGGGGCTGGGGTCGATCTTCGACCGGACCCTGCCCGGTGAAAGCGGTGCGAGGGTTTCTGGAGCATTCTGCGGTTGCTTTAGGGTTTAGGGCTTAGGGTTTTATGGTTTAGGGTTTAGGGTTTAGGGTTTAGGGTTTAGGGTTTAGGGTTTAGGGTTTAGGGTTCAGGTTCAGGGTTCAGGGTTTAGGGCTTAGGGCTTAGGGCTTAGGGCTTAGGGCTTAGGTAAGGGTAAGTGTTACAAGGGCTCTCGAAGGATTCGTCGGCTTCAGGTGTTTGGGTCTTAGGGTAGAGCTTTGGCTTCCGAGGCTCAGCGTGTAGATTCGGGCAAAAGGGTTCTAATGCGTGGATAGATAGATGTAGATGCACGGATGAACAGATAGATAGCTGGATAGCCAGATAGACAAATGGGGTGGCCCTTCTATAACCCTAAACTCTAAACCCTAAACCCTAAACCCTACCCTAAACCCGAAACCTTAAACCCTAAGCCTACACCTTAAACCTTAAACCCTAAACCCTAAGCCCTAAACCCCATTCTGGGAATGCTCCGAACGGGCCTTGCGCAAAGCCCGGCCTCCCGACGAGCGTCCGGGAGCGACACCCGAAAGGTCCGACTCAGCGCTTGGAGAGACCAGGGTTTAGGGTTTAGAGCCTAGAGTTTAGGGTTTAGGGCTTAGTTTAGGGTTTACGGCTTAGGGTTTAGGGTTTAGGGCTTTGGGCTTTGTTTCGGGTTTAGGGCTTAGGGCCTAGAGAGTAGGGTTTAGGGTTTAGGGCTTCGGGTTTAGGGATTACGGCTTAGGGTTTAGTTCCGGGTTTAGGGCCTAGGGTTTAGTTCTACAACGGCTCTAGGGTTCTATAGGGCCCTCTATAGGGGTTATAGAAAGGTTCTACAAGGGCTCTAGGGCTCCACTAGAAAAGCCTAAGGAACAGCATTGCGTAGTGAGTACTCAACCCCCCAACCCTAAACCCTGAACCCTAAACCCCAAACCCTAAACCCTAAAACCTAAACCCTAAATCCTAAACCCTAAACCCCAAACCCTAAACCCCAAACCCTAAACCGCCTATAAGGGCTTAGGGCTTCAGGTTCAAAGTGGAGGAGCTTCCAGGGGCTTAGGGTCGGGGCTGCCGGGAATTGAGGATTTCGTGTCGAAGGTTTAGGGTTTGGGGTTTAGGGTTTAAGGTTGAGGGTTTAAGGTTTAGGGTTTAGGGTTTAGTGTTTAGGGTTTAAGGTTTAGGGTTTAGGGTTTAGGGTTGGGAATAATGGACTTCTCAGGGTTGTTACGAGCGTGTGCACGTCTTATCTACTCTCAAAGCGGCAGCGGCATCGGGCCATCGAGCGCGAGCCCCCTCAAGGAGGCCGAAAAGAGATACTACGAAATACAGGGCGTGGCCGAAAAGAGATACTACACCCTAACCCTAAACCCTAAACCCTACAGGGCGTGGCCTTTGTATGGTATTTGGTCTTAGTGTAAACCAGAAAACAACCCCAGACGAGGTCCTGACCCCAAACATCCTGAGCCTTCACGCCCGACAGCGGCCTCGATAGCCGCAGTCGGACTCCCTGCGATGGCAAAAGAGGCCATATAGGGGCCTTAATACTTAGAATAGGGTCTTGGGCTCCTTGAAAGTATATCTATAATAAGGATCCTTCAGAAAAATATCGGTGTAGTAT